AGCCAAAAAATTTTAGAGGATATTAATTTGGTTTTACATTATTGTAAATATTACTATTTTAAAAAAATTTTGTATGTAGGTGTCTTCTATAATGGGGGGGACACCAGAGGGCGAGCTCTATGTCAGATAAATGAATAAAATCTTAAAAAAAAAAAAAACACAAAAAACACCAATCTCAAATATACTCTTCCAAATAACAGAAAATAAATTTTATGATGCCAGTATAATCTTTATATTAAAACCTGACAAGGATACTGAAGAAAGGAAAATTATTGGCCAATCTCAAACTCACATGCAAAAAATCCTAAGTAAAATATTAGCAAACTGAATAAAGGGATATATAAAAATACTATATTACAACCTACTTGAATTTATTTTAAGAATACAAAGGTGGTATAACATGAAAAATAAATACATTTACCAAATTAGCAGAATAAAGGACAGAAAATATATGCTCATCTTAATAGAGAAAGAGCATTTGATAAAATTAAACATTTGTTCATACTAAAAAATTAAAAACATAGAAGGAATAGGAGAATAGAATAGGAATAGAAGAACAAGCTAGGAACAGAAGAAAACTTACTAATCTGATAAACTTCCTTAACATATGTAAAAATTACGGTGAATGTCACATTTATTTGTAATTATTAAAAGCTAATAAATTTTGAAATTAGACAAATTATCACTACTTTTAGTTAGCATCTGCTGGTGATCTTAGTAAGGGCAGTAAGGCAAGAAAAAGAAATAAAAGATACAAGAATTAGAGAGTAATAAAAGTGTCATTATTCACAGATGATACAATTATAGAAATTGAAATAAAAATACATTAGCATTAAAAAGAGTTTAGCAAAGTGGCTGAATATGTATTTACCAAAGGCATTTACAAGTGTTCAGCAAGGTACCTGAATACCAATAAATATACAAAACCCAACTATATTCCACAAATAAGCAATAATCTTATTAAGTTCATTTCCGAAAAGACTTTATGAGGGCATCAAAAAAGTCAATACCTAGAATAAATGTAATAAAAAATGTGAAGACCACTACACAGAAACCTAAAACTCAATACTGGGAGAAATTAGAGAAAGCACAATAAATCAACAAATAACCAACATTGTTACGTTAGAAAATCCAGTGTTGTAAACATGTCAGTTCTTTCCAAAGCAATCTATAGATTCAATATATTCTCAACCTTAATCCCTACCTTTTGGGGAGGGGAGAAATTAGAAAAGCCAATTCCAACAATTTTAATGAAAATACAAGGTAAAGGAAGCATAGGGCAAAACTAGCTTAGACTTTACAATCAAATCAAGAGGGGAGACTTTACTGAATCTTAAGACATTTTATAAAAATACCATAATTAAAGACACTGTTATATTGCCATAAGGACTACTAGAAATGAACAGAGAATACAAAACGTCAGAAAAAAACCCATACATACAATGACAATTCATGACAAAGATGACACTAAAAAACAGTAATGAAAGGACAGTCTTTTCAATAAATGGCTCAAGGTCAATTTAATCTATATCATGGAAAAGTTATGAAAATTGACTCCTGTGTTACACAAATTGCAATTCTAGGAAGATACTAGCTTTAAATGTTACAAGTAAAAAAATGGAATTTTTAGATACAGAAAAATATATCCTTGAGCTTGAGGTAGGGAAAAATTCTTAAACAGGACACAAAAGCAATACCATACTAGAAAAAATCAATAAATTCAATTATGTAAAATGTCTTCTGTTCATCAAAAGACAAATTAAGAAAGAGGAAAGGCAAACAATAGCATGGGAGAAGACACCTGCAATATACACCAACAAATGACTTCTATCTAAAGTATAGAAGAACTCCTTAAAAATTACACACACATACACCCCACACACATGCCATATGAATGACCAAGTGGCTACATCTATTTAGACAATGAAGATATGTATTTTTAAAGCAGGAAGGAAATAGCGTACACATAATACACACACACTCTATATATATATATATAGCCAAAAAATTTTAGAGGATATTAATTTGGTTTTACATTATTGTAAATATTACTATTTTAAAAAAATTTTGTATGTAGGTGTCTTCTATAATGGAGAGAATTAAAAAGAGTACATATCCTGTAAATAAAGATTAAATTCCATCCTTTTCTTTAAAAAAAAAGGGTATAGACAACATACTGTGATGATGGCCTCATGCTAGAATCTAGATTTCTCTCACTCTGGTTCAGGATTCTGTATTTTAGAAAGACATTATTCCAAGAAAAAGATCTGAATTTAAGCATCTACATACTTTGAGTGTAGATACATACATACATATTGTGAGTGCTTAAGCAAAAAAAAAAAAAGTTTTAAGTCAAATACTTAAAAGATTTCTTACATAGAAAAATTTCCATTTGGAATACAACTATTTTAGTCAGATAGCTCTAGTGTTCTTGATCAAAATCCTGCTTGCAAAATTTCCACAACTGTGTAGTGAATCAAACTAGTAATTTCATGCACAAAAAATGTGTACAGTGTACGGGATCCATGTAATCTCCATCAAATTCAAACAATTAATAACTATGTATTTGTGATTAAGAGCAAGAGAATCTTGGGTTAACAGCTCTGGCATTAATCAGCTGTGTTAACCTGGGAAAATTAATTTATTCTCCCAATCTCAGAACTTGCATCTGTAGAATACCAGTAAAAATTGGGACCTCTTAGGTTCTTAGAAAAATTAAATGAGATAATGTAATTAAAGCTCCTAATATATTGCTTGGTAAACAGAAAGCACTCAGTGTATGAAAAGAATGTCCCATAATAGGAAGAACTCTAAAACTATGAGAAGTTATTAAAAAAAAAAGGTCAGATGTTCTTAAGCAACATGTGACATATTAGCTAGTAGTAATACATGTAGAGTTCACTGACTAATCATTAAGAGTTACCTGCAAGATTGTCAAGCATGAAGTTCAGTAGCTTTCGGGTTCCATCTGGGTCCTGGTATAAATTGAGAATATCCTGTGATAAAGGATTGCCTAAAGCAGAATACAAAAATAAAATCTGTAAGACTTACAATTTTAAGACGAGACAAATGTACACAATAAAATACTAATTTTGTAAAGTGAATTTTAAAGTATTTAGTCTGTTACATAAATTTGAAATTATGTGAATCTAAAGAAACACTCTATTAAGATCGTCCTAAGATTTCAAAAATGTTCTTTCTGGATTTCACTGTTTATACTATATATCTACAATTTGTTTGCCAAAATCACATATATAAACATACTTACTAATCTTAGTCAATTCTGAAGTAATATCACAATTCAACACCCGGAATTAACCTTTGTTAAGTTCTACATTTATCTTTGAACACAATATTCTAACTGAAAGACAAACAGTCCTATATGAGAAAGAATGAATGCTATCATTTAAAAAAAAGGAGGATCTTCCTTTAGTTAAAATATTTATATTACATATGGAGAAAGGAAGAAAGTTAAAAAAAAAAAAAAATCAAAGGGACCAAATCTTAGGAGCCTCTAACACTTCCCTGAGTTTTATCTGCAAGAGCCCCACCAAGTTTTTAATATAAAGACTGGAAAAAAATTCCCCTTGTGCTTCTGGTGGGAAAGGGAGAGTGGGGGGGTGGGGGAGGGGGTAATGCTCTCCTTAACAAGTCCTGCATGCAAGGAAAACTTTTTACCAGAATATAATCAGATGAGGCTTTACCATTTAACTTCAAGTAAATACCCCACACTCCAGCCCCCTCTAGCCTGATTTGGGGCATAGAGAGTAGGAAGGAGCATATCTAACTCAAAGGCCCATTAAAAGACTGAGACCTAATCATAAAACTACAGGATTCTTCCTCTCTTTCCACATCTTACAACCACTTCAGTATTGCTCCTGTGTAGTAAGATGATTATGGTAAATGGAACTATAAGCCTCAGTCTCTGGGAAAACCTGAAGGCAACAGAGGAGATAAAAACAAGAAAACTGAAGGAAATTTTAGACTCTGACATACAACAGCAGCAAACAGTAAACACAGCCTAAGTCCTAGCCAGAAAGAGAGTTTGGAAAGAAGAAGATGCATTATTTAAAAAGAAAAATGCTGCAAACTTTCAAAAGATAAACTTTTTAAAAATGAATAAACTGACCCAAGCAGCACAATGTATGCAAAGAAGTATATGAAAGGACTTCATTTTACTTTGTACTGCAAACTAGAGAATTACAATTCCAAGTAGAAAACTATAAAACCTATTAAGGAAAATAACCAATTACTTAAAACAAAACCAAAACAAAAAACATGGTAATGGCAATCAAATTCATTAGCAAAAATGGAAGCTGGAATACAGTGGGAGTATTTCCAAAGGGTACAAAATGGTATTCGAGACTTCAACACTCCTCCACTAGTTATCAACAAAAAAAGTAAACAAAGTCAGTAAAGATGGAGATCAGAAAAACACGCCAACCAACTTGACCTGATATTTATGTAATACTGTACTCAAAAAGAGGAAACTATACAATCTTTTCAAGTGTACAGGAACATTTCACCAAGACAGACCATATTCTGGGCCAGAAAAACTGTAACATGTTTAAAAGAAATGAAATCAGAGCATACTGACCATAAAAAAAACTAGAAATCAACAACAGAGAACTAGAAAATCTCCAAGTACTTTGAAATTAAACAGCATACTTGTAAGTAATCTATGGGTCAAAGACAAAGTCACAAAAATTTTTAATTTAAATGAAAATACATTATCAAAATTGTAAGATGAACCTAAGTCAGTGTCTAGAGGGAAGTTTATAGCATTAAATCCTTATACTGGAAAAAAAAATCTAAAATCAATGCCTTAACTTCCATATTAACAATCTTTTTTTTTTTTTTTAAAGATTTTATTTATTTGAGAGAGAGAGAATGAGAGAGAGAGAGCACATGAGGGGAGGAGGGTCAGAGGGCGAAGCAGACTCCCTGCCCAAGCAGGGAGCCCAATGTGGGACTTGATCCAGGGACTCCAGGATCATGACCTGAGCCGAAGGCAGTCACTTAACCAACTGAGCCACCCAGGTGCCCCCATATTAACAATCTTAAAAAAAAGAGCAAATGAATCCCAAAGAAACCAGAAAGAGATAATAAAGAGCAGAAATCAATAAAATTTACATCCAAAAACATGAGACTACTACTGAACCTAAACATGGTACTTTGTGAAAAAGAGACAAAAAAAATTGATAAACCTACACTTGATCAAGAAAAAAAAAGATACAACTCAATAAATATCAAGAATTAAATAAGGAATAGATCTGGAGACATTAGGATAGGGAATACTAAGAAAAGTTTGTTCTTAAGTTCAATAACTTAGCAAAAATGACCAAATTCCTTGAAAGACAGAAAATATCACACCTCACTCAAAAAGAAATGGATAGGGGCGCCTGGGTGGCTCAGTTGGTTAAGCGGCTGCCTTCGGCTCAGGTCATGATCCCAGGGTCCTGGGATCGAGCCCCGCGTCAGGCTCCCTGCTCAGCGGGGAGCCTGCTTCTCCCTCTCCTTCTGCCTGCCTCTCTGCCTACTTGTGCTCTCTCTCTGTGTCAAATAAATAAATAAAATCTTTAAAAAAAAAAAAAAAGAAATGGACAGAAAACTCAGCCAAAAATGGCAGAGTAAGGACCTCCAAAAATGTGCTCCTTCATAAGGGCAAAATGGCAGAATATGGGTAAGGACAGTAATTTGTGGAGTTTTGCCTTCTTCTAGTCCCTCACTGCCAAGGCAGCCTGGCAACCACTGAAGCAACCAAAATTGAGCTAGAGCCTTTCAAAACTTCATTTTCAAGAGTAGCCATTTATCTGACTTGTGTGGTGGCAGTTCCTTGACTCTTGCCAAGTACTAAAAGCCTTCCACCTGAAAGGGGGAGAGAGTCTAAGGGCATGTTTGAGGAAACCATTACTGGTAAATGATTTAACTTATGGTTGTCTGAGGTCATGGAAACAGGTAAGGCAAACAAAAGACTAACCTAAATGCTTAAAAGAAAGGCTTGGGAGTAAGATGTCACTAAGGGCTTTGAAAAGTTCTGATATATTCCAGGTTATCTAGAAAACCGTAAATGTGGGTGGCTTTGCATATGCTTAGGAAAGACCTAAAAACAGCCTAAGCTCTCACCTCTTCTTCATCTTAAGGCTGTGCACAAGTCAGAAGCTAACACTAAACTGAACAGATTTCAATGGCTCAGTCAGTAGAACATGTAGCTCTTGATCTCGGGGTCATAGGTTCAAGCCCCGTGTTGGGTGAAGAGATTACTTAAAAATAAAATCTTAAAAACAACAACAACAACAACAAAAAACAAAAACCTACAGAGGCCAAAATGTAGAAGAAAGACATATTCAAAGTGCTAAAAGAAAAAAATTGTCAACTAAGAATTCTATATCTAGCAAAAATATCCTTCTTAGATGAAGGAGAAATTAAGACATTCCCAGATAAACAAAAACTGAATGAGTTTGTGACTAGATCAGCACTACAGAAAATATTAAAGGGATTCCTATAGGATGAAATGAAAGGACACTGGATGGTAACTTGAACCCATATGATAAAAATAAAGAGTACCACTAAAAATAACTACATAGGTATCTATGAAGACAGCATAAATATAATTAGTGGTTTTATCATTTTTCAATCTAAGAGACAACTGCATACAGCAATGATGATAAATCTATGCTGATGGCCACACAATGTACAAAGATAATACTTATGACAATAACAGCATAAATGAGAAGCGAATGGAGCTATAGGTGCAAAGTTTCTTTATATTATTTAAATTGATATTAATCCAAATTAAGACTACTATAAATGTTAATTTCAATCCCCAGGGTAATCACTAAGAAAATAGCTCAATATAATAAAGCAAAAGAAAAAAGGGAATGAAATTTGTACACTGGAAAATACTCATTTAACACAAAAAAAGAAGGCATTAATTGAGAAATACAGGAACAGGAAGGCACTAAGATAGAAAATAGCAAAATGGCAACAAAAATTCTACCTTATCAGCAAATACATGAAGTATAAGTGGATTAAACTCTGACTAAAATGCAGAGATTAGCAGAATGAACAATAAGACATAATTCATCATATGCTGTCCACAAAAGATACACTATAGATTCAAAGACACAAATAGACTGAAAGTAAAAGAATAGAAAAATGTATGCCACACAAACAGAAAAGAGCTAGAGTGTCTATACTAAGAAAGGGATAATCTCAATGTCCTTTATCAATGAAAGAAATTAAATTAGTTAAAAACTTTTCAACAAAGATAATTCCAGGTCCATATGGTTTTACTGGAAAATTCTACCAATCATTTAAGAAAGCAGTAATACAAATATTATGCAAACTATTCCAGAAAAAAAGAAGTGTTAGTTACACTTTCGAACTCATTTTATGAGGTCACCAGTATTCTGAAATCAAAGACATTGTAAGAAAAACACTACACAATTATGTCATCTTATAATCATTAATGTATAAATCCTCAATAAAATAGTATATATTTAGATATATACTAGTGTATATATTTAGATAATATATCTCAATATATTAGAGTGAGAATACATAATGACCAAGTCATTTTTAAAACGGGAATAGAGGCTGGTTCAACATCTGAAAATCATTAATGTAATTCCAACATATAAACAGACTAAAGAAGAAAAGTTACATGATCATCTCTACAGTCACACATAAAGTATTTGACCAAATTCGACTTGCGTCAATGACAAAACATCCAAGCAAATATGAAATAGAAGAAAATTTATTTAACCTGAAAAACCATCTACCAACAAACTTGTCACTGATATCATTAATGGTGAAAGACTAATTGCTTTTCCCTAAAATTGAGAACAAGGCAAGGATGTGCACTCTCATCACATGTATTTAATACTCTCCTAATACTATCGCCAATGTGGTAAGGAAACAAAAGAATATGTTTCAGAAAGGAAGAACTGAAACAGTCTCTATTCACAGATTAAAGTTTGTAAAAGTTTACAAATGTTGAGAGAGACCAGG